AACATCAGCCTGGGGTTCTGGGTTGCTAGTCCAATAACATTACCATATTGCCACTGCTTCTTAAAAAATATTTCAAAGGAAAAAATGTAGAAGTTGGGATATGGACATGGTAGCAAGGTGTGGAGACAAAGAAAGGTGAGGGGTAGGGACTTTGATAACAATAAACTAACAAAAAAGCTGGTGATCTGGATCGAGTTACAGAGCACTTTGGGTTCCCCACAATCCCATTACAAGTGCAGTGGCAGCTATTGATGGTTCCTTTCCCTACCATTCCCCCAATTGTCCACACCTTAAAGGAGGCTGAAGTAGAAAAGACAGAAGATATGAGAGAGTAAAACAATTCAAGACATCAGAAACAAATAAAAGAGAAGCTATATTCTCCAACTTACGACATGCAACAACGTAGGATAATAAAAGTTCAAACTTGTAATGCAGAGCTAAAGATTTTCAATGCATTTTTTTAGAATCTACATTTTGCCCTAGGTGGTGAAACAAAAACAGTGCTGGAGAAACTCAGCCGGTCTGTTAAAAGAGCAACAGAGTTAATGTTTCAATTTCAGTAATCCTCCATTAAAACAATGACGAAGGATTGCTGGGCTCAACTCATCTATAATTGATGCAGTCCATATTTTAAATGTTGTAATATCTAATGAAGCAATTAGTCACTTTTGTGGGTGTTAAATGCAATAATTCCATGCCTTAAACATACATTAAACCCATGCGCATGCCAAACAAGGTATAAATATCCAACAGAAGTCTGACCTTTTTCAGTCTTTTTCTTTTTCAGTCCGTAGTGATCTTCTAATTTCTGACTCCTAAGTAAAACTCCCTCTTCTATCTCTCGTCTTTGTGTGTGCCTTTCCCACTATCAAGTTGACAAACCAGACAAAGGGCCAAGATGTGAGGGGAATGTTAGTTATCGATGGAACTATATTTCAGCATAACTGCAGCTGACCATGAGGAAAAAGTAATAACCAATACCAAAATTTGTTAAATTGTTTGTCTCCAAACTATGGATAGGAATGAGAAATAAGTAAGACATTGAAACCTAGAAGACTGGTGTGCACACAAAACTAAATTTGCTAAATTTATTTTGTATTAAATTCTTACAACTTCAGACTTAATACTGCACTATTCCTGGTTATGATGGCTTGCATTTGTTTAAAAAACTGATTATTATTCTTAAAATTAGCCTATTAAAATGTAGTTTTATAGCATTTTGCAATCCATGTAAGTTTAGTATATGTTCTAAAATTTAATTGTTTAACAACAGTGTTGTACGTTCATTTGAACTGGCAATAACGTTACCTAATTCTCTTCTAAGACTATCAAGTGGTTTTACAGTAGTTATTTGAATTCTATAAAATGTTGGTTGTTCTTGCAGGAGCACAGCAGCACCTTCTGTTGGCTACTATATTTGCTTTAAACGTCCGGTACCAGCCTGCAGACTTATCTGTGGTTATTAACAGTGGTCTTCTAGAAGCTCTTTCAAAGCTGACAAATTCCTGCCTCCTGTTAAACCAGCGTTGGCTGATGGCTTCAGTGTCTGGCCATCCCCATTTAAATGTTGCACTAAAACTGGCTGGTGCTCGACTTCTACAGATTTTAGCTATCACTGCTAGGTAAGCAATCCGTACAAGAAACTATAACCTAGACTGAAATTTAATTAAATAATATGTCGATCTGGATGATAAGTACACCAACATCAAAATTTATGTGCAATTAGATTGTAGTGATTTCTGTTAACTGGATTTTTGTTTTTTCTTGTAAATTAGACAGCATTCCAATAAATGATCATCCGTTTTAATGTAATTTAAAATTTTTCTGGACCTGGTGGTTTAGTTACACTGGTGTACTGGAGCATGTTAAACCCTGGTTTGTGGGTTTTGTCATCCTCACAAAGGAAAGGAATTATCTTGCTTGTATTTGTCAATATAATATAACTCTTAATTTCTCCTTGGAATTGGTCACAGATCTTCAATCTTGTAGCTTGTCTATTTGAAACCAGTGGTAAAACTGACACCATTTTCCTTACTTTTTCTCATCCATAAACTTAAAAATATTAAATGATAAGCTTTAATGCTTTGTTTTGAACTTGGTATCTTTCTTACTTTGATTTCCTCCTATTACTGTTTGGTTTTCTTTGTAGTTCCTATGCAGAAACCTTGTGCCCTGAAGTAGTTCAAGCCCCAATGGATGTATTATGTTGCCAGTTGCAAGGTTTTTTGCATGCGATGTGTGGAAATTCAGAATGTGAATTAGCTGAAGAGGAATGTACAGAACAACGTAGTTGTGGATCCAGCATCAGATCCAGAAGTAAAGGTGGGAATAGAAAGTTAATGTATAAAATAAGTTCACTTATAGAATTTTGTTATCGAAGTATTTAGATCTCGCTATTTTTAAGAGTGGAGGCCTCTCAAGTCATTTGATTTTGCTGCCAGGCAAAGCGTATTACATGATAATTAATTGGTAATGCTTTTCAAGTGATTGTCTAACATTTTTTTAAAATGTCTTGAAAGGGCATTGAAAATAGAACCCTCTTGATGCATTGCAGACACAACCGAGTGGAACAAACGTGTTCGACTAGTGCTAAGTGAGGGATCCCTTCACAAAATGTCTGCCTGAAAGTACTGGCAGCATTGTGTTGGATCTCCTTGCAAACTGTTGGTGAGGTTGTGAAGGTTTCACTTTTTTCAGTGTCTACCAGCCACTAACAATTATTAGCAAGAAATAAAAGTTAAATGCCATGATTTGGTGAGTTGTGGCTTAAATTTATGCACTGCTATGCCTTCAGTATTGGTGAGAGAGTTTATCTCTGCCTTAAAAACAGTAGACAAAACAAGGATCATTTATTCTAAAGAAAAATAAGATTGTGCTTCTATTATGAAGGTGTTCCACTAGTTTTGATAACATGCATGTTGATGTAATGATATATTTTATATATCACTTTTCAGTCAGGAACATTTTTGTTTTACACGTACACATTTCAGAACTCCAGTGCCATCCCTGTCGTTAATCTTTCTAGAATGTAATACCTGACTGAAAAACAGAGCTTAATTGGGTGGTAAAACAGGATTTTAGATTATAAAACACCTAGGGTTTTGCTTATTTGAGAGATCAATTGAAGAGGACAATTCATTCCAGACTCCCAGCAGGAGGAAGCCGGATTGAAAACATAAAATTGAACTCTGTGCTGAAACTCTGCAAGACTAATGCTGCTGATCATTGGATGGAAGAAAACAAATTACTGATGTATAATAAAGCAAGGAGCCCTGAGAAACAAGAGGTGGATTGTTATTGTCTATTCTGCAATAGCTGAGAGATTCTGTTAATTAATTTTTTAAATAAAGCTAAATTTGTAATAAAGCTTTAGTGACTTCTTCTAAATTCTTTGAATATAAGTAGTTGGATGATTAAAATTGATCAGGAATGGGAGTTTGAAATGGGAATGTGTTCTTCTGCTCCTCATCTCTTTTTTTGGAAATACCTGAGTAAGATTATGATTTTTATAGAAGCTACCACTGAGAAACAATTTTTAATCCTTAATATTAAAGAATATTATTTAAAAAAATCAATGCTTTCAGAAGATTTATGCAAATCTATGAGTCGTAGTCATTGGGTTATACAGCACAGAAACAGACTCTGTCCGTTCAACCAGTCCATACCAAACATAATCTCAAACCGAGCTGGTCCCACCTGCCTACTCCAGGCCCATATCCCTCCAAACCATTCCTAATCATATATGCATCCAAATGTCTTTTAAATGTTGTAATTGTACCCACGTCCATCACTTCATCAAGTAGTTCATTCCACATGCAAACCACCCTGTGTAAAGAAAAATTTGCCTCTATCTTTTTTAAATCTCTCTCTCCTCTCACCTTAATAAAGTGCCCCCTTGTCTTGAAATTCCCCATCTTAGGGAAAAGACAGTTATCATCAACGCTATCTATTATCAGGTCACCTCTCAACCTCCTACACTCCAGTGAGAGAAGCCCTAGCTTATCCAGCCTTTCCTTGTAACTCAAACCTTCCATACCCGGCATCATCCCGGTAAATCTCTTCCGAACCCCCTCCAGCTTGATGATATCCTTCTCATAACTGGGCGACCAGAACTAGACACAATATTCTAAAGGGGCCTTACCAACATCCTGTACAACCTCAACATGACGTCCCGACTCCTAAGGTCAAAGCAATGAAGGTAAGAGTGCTAAATGCCTTCTTAAACCACCCTGTCTACCTGTGATGCAAATTTCAAAGAATTATGTACGTGTACCCCTAGGTCCCTCTGTTCTACAACACTACCCAAGACCCTACCATTAACTGTATAAGCCTTACCCTTGTTTGTTGTACCAAAATGCAATACCTCGCATTTACCCAGATTGAACTCCATCTGCCATTTTCAGCCCATTGACCCATTTGATCAAGATCCCTCTGTAATCTTGGAAAACCTTCTTCACTGTCTACAGTGCCACCAATTTTGGTGTCATCCGCAAACTTACTAACCATGCCTTCTATATTCTTGTCCAAATCATTTCTATAAATGACAGACAAATGTGGTCCCAGAACTGATCCCTGTGAAACATTGCTGGTTACAGGCCTCCTGTCCGAAAAGCAACCCTCCATCATTATTCTCTGTCCCCTGCCGTTAAGCCAATTATGGATCCAATTGGTAAGCTCACCCTGAATCCCATGTGACCTAACTTTACTAATTAGTCTACCATGTGGAACCTTATCAAAGGCTTTACTAATATCCAAATAAACCTTTTTGGTAACTTGCTCAAAAAATCCCAATTGAGTTTGTGAGGCATGATTTTTCTCACACAAAACCTTGCTGGCTATCCCTAATCAACTTTTACCTCTCTAAATCTCCATAAATCTTATCTTTTATAATCACCTCCAACAATTTACTCATAACCGAAGTCAGACTCGCAGGTCTGTAGAACACAGAACAGTACAGGCCCTTTGGCCCACGGTGTTGTGCCAACCAATTATCCTACTCTAAGATCAAACTACCCTGCACACCCTTCATTTTACTATCACCCATGTGCCTATCCAAGAGTCGCTTGAATGTCCCTAATGTAGCTGACCAGTTTCTCCTTACAACCTCTTTTAAACAGAGGTATAACATTAGCCACCCTCAGTCATCAGTCACCTCACCCATAGTTATAGATGATGCATATATTTCTGCAAGAGGTCTTGTAATTTCCTCCCTTACTTTCCACAACATTCTGGGATTCATTAGATCAGGTCCCAGAGATTTATCCGTCTTTGTATTCCCTTAACACCTCCCGAACTTCCACTTCTGTAATGTGAACTGTTTTTAAAACATCATATTTTATTTCTGTGCATTCTCTAGACTCCATTTCTTTCTCCACAGTAAAAACTGATGCAAAATATTTGTTTAGTATCTCTCCCATCTCCTGGAGTTCAACACAAAGATGACCTCCTTGATTTTTAAGAGGTCCTACCCTGTTTCTAGTTACCCTGGTGCTCTTAATTTATTTGTAGAATCTCTTTAGATTATCCTTAACCTTATCTGCCAATACTATCTCATATCCCTTCTTTGCCTTCCTGATTTCTCTCTTAAGAATGCCCCTACACTCTTTGTATTGATTAAGAGATTCAATCGAACCAGGTTGTCTATATCTAAAACAAATTCTCTTTTATTCTTGACTAGAACCTCGATATCTTTATTCATCCATTGTTCCGTAATCTTACCAGCCTTACCATTCACCCGAGCAGGAACAAAATGCCTCTGAATGCTCGTCATCACACTCTTTTAATGCCTCCCACTTGTCAGACGTCCTTCTCCTTGCTAACAGTCTACTCCGATCAATTTTTGAAAGTTCTTGTCTCAAACCATTAAAATTTGCCTTACTCCAATTAAAAACTTTAACTTTTATGGAAAGCTTATCCTTTTCCATAACTATTTTGAAACTAATAGAATCATGATCGCTAGACCCAAAGTGTTCCCCCACCTTTCCATAAGTCACCTGCCCTGTATTACTGCCCAAAAGAAGGTCTAGTTTTGCTCCTTCTCTAGTAGGAGCACCCACATATTGATAAAGAAAATTTTCTTGAGCACATTTGACAAATTCATCACCATCCAAAACTTTAACACTACCGTAGACCCAGTCAATGTTTGGAAGATTAAGATCCCCCATTATTACAAGCTTATTATGCTTGCATGTATCTGAGATCTCACTACATATTTGTTTCTCAATTCCTGTTACTTTTGGGATCAGAGAGTACAATCCCATCAAAATGATCTTTCTTCTTTGTAATTTCTGCCCATGTGTTTTCGATGGAGAATTTTTCAGAAATATCTCCCCTAGTTACAGCACTGATATATTCCTTAATAGCTGTGATGTCCCAATCCCATGTTCTTAAACATGCTCCGAGTTCATCAGCCTTACCTGTAAGACCCCTTGCAGTGAAATAAATGCAGTTTAGTTCTTTGGAGTTACAACATACTCTGACTCTCTCTACCCCATCAGAACCTACCCCATCAATCCTTCCATTTACATTGCTACTTAGAATTCCTCCACTCGCCTTCTCTATCAGTTTAAAGTCTCCCTTAATAGAATGAGCTCATCTCCCTGCTAAGATATTGTCCACTTCCAGTTCAGAAAAAACAACTAAGGTTGAATCCTTCAATTTTGTATTAAGGATTTAAGTCACAATCCAGATTTTACAATGTTAACAATTTATATTTTTAGTTGTGTTTATACCTTCAACAGGCAATTACAACCATTAAGTTTCAAATAATGCCCTAAACAACTTGTCATAAAAGCATTATGGGACAGAAGGAGGTCAATTGACTTGCGTATTTGCCGCCTTTCTATAGAGTCCCATTCCTACACGGTGTCTCCTGTAAGCTTATTTACCTAAATTCTCTTCCAGTCTTCTTTTGAAATCATTGATCGTCTCTGCTTCTGCTGTCCTCGAAAGATGACAGTTCCAAGTTAAGACCAGTCACACGACCCTGATTTCTTGGTCCAAATCTTAGATTTGTGTCCCCTAGTTCTTGTTACATCAGTTAGTGGGAATGCCTTTCCTTTGAATTAAATAAAACCTGGTAATCGCTATCGATTGTCGTAAAAATTCATCTGATTCTGTAATGTACTTTAGGGAAGGAAATCTGTTTTCCCGACGTGGCCTGGTTTACATGTATCTTCAGATCCACACCAGTGTGGTTGATTTTTTTTAAACTGCCCTCTGAAGTGGGCCTAGCAAGCCACTCCATTCCAGAGCAGTTAGGGATGGGCAATGAATGCTGGCCTAGCTAGAGATTCCCACATCCCATGAGAGAATAAAGAAAA